TAGGAGCAAGGACGCTACTAGGGGCTCCTGGCATCGCTACTAGGAGCTTTGTCTTGTTTCATTTCTTCTTTCTTCAGACCTTTGGATCCTTCTTTAAACATGTTTAAACCGTATTCCTCCAGCCTACTAGCCTCCTTTCACTTTTGTCCGTTTAGACCTTCTTCCTCTTTTTCGACCTTGACTTTTTCTTTTTCTGAGCTTTCTTCTCCTTAGGTCTTGGACTCTTGCTAACCACGCTTTCGGGTGGAGAAACTAGCTGACACAACGCTGCAATCACCTGGATTCAAAGGGAGGTCGCCCCGAGTGATTTGACAATTGCGGGTGCGTGTTTTGCCGTGATGTTTGAGGCATTGAAGAGAATCGCAGGAGGAGAGGTTGGTGCCCCAACCATGCTGTGACCGCGAATCGCACCTGACAATGCGAATTCTGAGGCCAGTGGCATGAAAGACAACATTGATTTCCACAATGAGCAGCTGAAGAACAGCGTCAGCATCGTCAGCATCCTGATCTTTGGGCCTGCAGAAGCCAAACGCGTTCTTCCGTAGGCTGCTACTTAGTAGCGAGGCCCTTTGCTCCGCTCCTAGTAGCCATGCCAGGAGCCCCTAGTAGCGTCCTTGCTCCTAGTAGTAAGGCCAGGAGCTACTAGTAGCGTCCTTTCTTCCTAGTAGCGATGCCCTTTGCTCCGTTCGCAGCGTCTCCTAGGTCCGCATGAAGCTCACCAAAAATCAGCGCGTTGGGTCCCTGAGTCCGAGCTGTGGAGCTTGCGTGAGCTGTCTTCATGCGCCAGCTGCGAGGTGTTGATGGGCGCATTGATTGTCCTGGATGTCAGGGATCCTGAGAAGCGAGCGTGATACAAAGATCCCAAAACGGAGAAGGTCTACAGGTCTGAAGAGGTCTGCTCCTAGTAGTAAGGCCAGGAGTTACTAGTAGCGTCCATTGTTCCTAGTAGCGATGCCCTTTGCTCCTAGTAGCGTCCTTGCTTCTAGTAGCGATGCCAGGAGCCCCTAGTAGCGTCCTTGCTTCTAGTAAGAGTGTCTACCAGGTATATGAGGTCTTGGTCTAAGTAGTTAGATTGGAGGCCGCTCTTAGGTTAGTCTATGGCCGGCATTCCGAGGTACATGGCATCACTGTGCTGGAGAATTTGCTTGAAGCTGGCACAAGCAGCCTGGATGTCATGGACTTAGAAGTGGACTAGTGTCATACATGGCTGAATGGATTGAGGTTCAAAACGTGTCAAGCATTGCCTGTGAAGCACCTACTAATAGTCATGGCCTCCAACCTACTAGCGATGGCCTTCAACCTACATCTTTTTGTTTCTTAGGACTTTGACTGGAGCAAACAGCTGCGATATTATTGGATACCAGAAGGAGAAGAGGCCTGAAGCCTTGCGGAGCCTTGCGGAGCCCTGAAGGCTTTCGGCACTTGACAGGTGGAAACATCTTTGATCAGCATGGTCTCAGATGATTGCGCCAGATGCCTAGAATAATGGACATAAATCGCTAGAATATTCGGTTTGGAGGCCATTGCTATTTAAATGGAAACCAATCTTTAGTCAACTTCGAGTTCGGTCAGTTGGGTCAACAAGTGCCACGCTAGTAGTAACAAGTGCCTTACTAGTAGTAACAAGAAGCTATTAGTAACAAGTGCCACGCTAGTAGTAACAAGTGCCTTACTAGTAGTAACAAGAAGCTATTAGTAACAAGTGCCACGCTAGTAGTAACAAGTGCCTTACCACTTTTGACCAGCGAAGTGAGAGAATGCAGTCCTTGCCCGCAGCGAAGAGAGAGTGCCAGCGAGTGCCACCCAGGTTTGTCGCCAGACGATCGCATGCTTCAAGTACTCCTACGAGTACTTGGGCAACACTCCACGCTTGGCAGCGTCCTTGACGCTACGAACGGAGCAAAGGGCATCGCTACTAGGGGCTCCTGGCCTTATTAGTAGGAGTAAAGAAGCTACTAGGAACAAGTGCATCGCTTCTAGTAACAAGTGCCTTACTAGTAGTAACAAGAAGCTATTAGGAACAATGAGCCCCTAGTAGCATGGACAAAGCAGAGTCCAAAACGTGGAACGAAGAAGTCACGGAGAGCTTCCTTGCTCCTTGCTCCTTGCTCCTTTTTTGCTCCTAGTAGTAAGGCCAGGAACTTCTGGTAGCGTCCTTGTTACTACTAGTAAGGCACTTGTTACTACTAGCATCCGATCGCTCCTAGTAGCGAGGCCAGGAGCCCCTAGTAGCGATGCCCTTTGCTCCTAGTAGCGATGCGCTTTGCTCCGTTCGTAGCTTCTACATGTATTTGACTTCGCAGAATAGATCCGAAGTCAATGAGTCAAGGTGGTCACGCCACTTACAGACAAGTGCTACATGACCTTGACAGGACGGCAAGCTGTGGGGCCATGTCTGGAACATTTCAACATGCAGACCTATTTCTTAGATTGCAGATTCTGGCTGAAGGTCAAAGACCACATGTCGTGTACACACACAGACCAAAGAGGCCCTCTACGAACCCTCTACGAACCTTATCTATTTGTCAAATTCACTCTCGTTGTCCTCTTAAAGGTTAAAAAGTAAGGACAGCCAAAGTTAAGTTTCCCTCAAAATCTAGGAACCAAATCGGTGCGAGCGCTTCTTCATGGAAGCTTCCCCCGCCGCCCTAGCTTCCTTGAAGAAGCGCGAGCTATCCTGCGTCCAGTTCCTAGTAGCTTAAGTAAGCCACTAGCTACCTCAATGCCTTACTTAATTAAGTAGGCGCCGGCTTCATTCAGTAGGGAGGAGGAGGAGGAGGAGGTCGAGGCCAACAAAAATAGAACTTGAAGTGAGAGGTCCACCAGAGCTTGTCTTCATTTGTGTTTTCAAAAACACACCATCGAGAAAGGGAAACACACACAATTTGGACGCATGTTTTGCCCCATCAGGGTTGTAGACAGAGACACTTGCCTACTGCGAAAGTACAGAACCTGTAGTTCATTTCACGCGTTCAGTGGTGGGATAAGTTGGTACTGAGCGGCTTTCCATAGCACTGTTGCTGTTGTTTAAACTAATTTAAATTAGTAGCGAACATTGTTACTACTAGTAAGGCACTTGTTACTACTAGCGATGCACTTGTTACTGCCGTTTTCCTCGCCTCCAGGAGCGATGCATCTCAACTATGGTGGTGCACCGGCAGGACCAGCTGGCACAGGCCAGGGCACGTCGCGAAGTGAAAGGTCTGAGGCGGAGTAAAAAGGGACAAGCAATGGACAACAATACAGAACAGCTCTAAAGGTCTAAGGCAAAAAACATCTACTAGTGAGGCACTTGCTCCTAGTAGCTTTCTTGTTACTACTAGTAAGGCCCTTGTTACTAGAAGCGATGCACTTGTTCCTAGTAGCTTTCTTGTTACTACTAGTAAGGCCCTTGTTACTAG